GGAGAAAGCAAAATGACAGAGAGATGAGCTCATTACTGTGCTGCTTCTCCTATCACTGCCCAGTTACCAGCTTAGGTGCGGGTCCAGTACAACCTAAGCTCAGGGGAAATGGGTTGAATGATGCCGGTCATCAGAATGATGATGTCTAGCATCAGAAAAAAGTACTGCGAGGAAATTCTCTGGACTGAAGATGAATATTGAAACAAAAGCTGGTTTTGTTATTCGTTTAATGCACCATTTATTTTTATACAGTTGTTTTTGGCTGGAGTTCTGCTTCAAATGTGAATTAGAAAAGGCTTTTAATGTTTCACAAACCTAATAAATCTTTGTTGGTTTTCTATCCCCAAATTCCATTTTTAGACCCCATTCACACTGAGCTTTTCCCAGCATCATTGAGCTAGATCGAGCGACATTGAGCTACAGTGCACATTTTGTCACGCTACGTAGCGCGACTTTTCGCAGGGACTTCGTAGCTGCTACATTGGGCTGTAACCAATCAAAAGCGCTCTTTATGTGACATCATTCCTTCCTTCTTATATTTCTGTGCGAGAGTGACACTTCTGTAGCGCGACGTAGAGCGACAATGTCGCACAACATTGAGCTACACCATTAAAGTCTATTGGGCCAACCGCACAAAATCAGCCGAAAAATAGGTCATGTTCGAGCTACAAGCTTGAGCGACGAGCTACAGGCGACATTGAGCTGTGAGATGTGAACAGCTCCATTGAAATGCATTGGACAAGCTACATTGAGCGACATTGAGCTGATATTTGAGCGATTTTGGAGCTGAAATCGCGCTACAAATCGCTCAGTGTGAATGGAGTTGTAAAACATCATCTCCATAATTTTGCTGGGTGTATGAACACCGATAAGCTGCTCTGTAGAAGATGTCAACCTTTTAGCAATTCCTTCCCTTAGTAAACATCAGAAAGTGAACACACAGAAATTTGGCAAGAACATTCTTCTTCCATGTAAAAGCTCACAAGGACTTCAACTAATGGAAACATCTTTGATTTCCTGGTGACTCCAATTTGAGGAGTACTTGAATTACCAGCTATAGACTTTGAGCTGTTGTTTTTTGTTGCACTTATATTAAAATGACAATCCAAACAATGTGTTCATTTTAGGTGAACTTTTCTCCATGGTCTAAAATAAAATATATATATATTTATAACCACTTCAAGTGCAATTTGCTAATGCAACACAATTATTTCCCCAATGTGAAAATACAAACATTTTTATAAAACACACAATGGATTATCATTGATCCAAGCTCATCAATAATAATAATTGATCCAAGCTCATCCATGTATTGTGTCTATAAAATACAGCATTGGAAATTTTACCAACTTCAAATACCTTTTTTCTTTTAACTACTGCATCATAATACAAATGCCATAAAACACTTTGTTGTCTTATCCTTAACTTTTAAAAAAAACCCTCTTGAAGCATCATATTTACAGTGAGTAAATTAGAAGTCAGTAAAGTCTGCCAAAAGGTATTTTCTTCAGTGGAAGGGCTGCTTTCACTTTTGCTCCTACATTTTCAATTAAATAGCTGTCAGTAATTGTTTTTTTAAAAATATGATAAAAAATTGTTTAGTGTTTGTTTTGAAAAAAATCTTAAACAAACCTTGCATGAATATAGAAGCTATAAAATGTATATTTGCTGATGGTAAATATATTATTTGTATGCCTATCAAAGCTATTGAATTGTTGCTGTAAATAATAATAATATTAATTAGAATTATTGTTATTATTTTGTCATTATTGTTGTTATTATTATTATTATTGTTGTTCTTGTTATTATTACTGATACTACTACTACTATAATT